CTAGTCTTACACTACTAAATTAGGGACGGCTAGCGCAGATAGCCCTCGTGTAGCTTTGCGCGAAATCCATAACAAACTTTACCAAGGTTTATTACAAATATCAAACAAAGTCTTATACATCATACTATACGTGTCAGGTAGTGTTGAGAACGAATCTAACTTCGTCTGATATTTTTCTAAGGCTCCTTTTCCCAAATGATCAGTTGTTTACGCCCACTTCTTGACCAGTCGAAGTCGAAGAGCAAATAGTCATTTGTGGAATTATCCTTATTATCTGCAGAATCGTCATTTGGAACTCGCTAACAGAAAGCTCGTATGCCACCAAGTTACCGTAATTTACAGTACGTGTTTGTACGTCTCTCTACGCTTAGAATGTTCATCGGGAAGTAAAAATCAAAACACAGAAGGTGCACAACAAACTTTATCAACACGACCACAAATACAGTCACGAATATGTGACTGTGCATACCTGTCTTTGTTGGTCCTTTGTTATTGTATTTAATATAATCAAAAGGAATTGTAAGGATTTTTCAAGTGTAAGAAGAACTTTTAACTCTTACAATTTTTGTAACCTTATTGTGCTTGTTTTAACGTTAACGTGTAGTATTTAACTTTAAATTGATAATTTTGGTAGAATGATTTGCCTTAACTTAAACTTTGAAAAGTTTAATTGTTTTATTTAATCCGGGGTTATGTTGCTTTGTTTAAACTATAACCTTGGGTTTAGTTAGAAATTAACATTAAGGTTATTTTCATTTAAAGTTAGGAGTTTTTTAGTTTAACTAACAAAAAGAATCACACTGAACTGGTAAAAGAAACCTTTTACATATTTTTCTATACGTTTTTTACCAGTTCCACACCCACAATAGCACACTTGTCCTTATTTTGTAGTGTATGTTTCTATTGTTATTGTGAATTAAGATTGTTGTCGTTGTGTATCTTATATTTTCCCTTATATGGTTCCATTAGTTTGTGGGCAAGAACTCTTTAAATAAAAGCATGTTCTAGTTGTGTCGTCATAGCTCAAAATATTTTCAGCTACTGGTATTTTTCCGTCGTTGTGCTGTAGTAAGACTTCCAGGTCGATCTTCTGGAGTCCTCTTTTGACAGTACTGAGTTGTCTTTTCGTTGCTTGCAGTTACAAATGTAACGTTGTTCCAAATGTTTGATTATGATGCTTTTCCAGTGTTTCTTTAAAGTTCTGCATACCTTTTTTAACTTTCTTGTTCTGATCATTTAGAACTTCTGAAAATGTCTGGTTACTATTTTTCTATTATTATTTTCAAACATTAACATTGTTCTTGAAATGTATCCAAAACTCTTTCGATTTGTGTGCAATTTTTAGATTTGTAGCTATCTTGAAACTATCACTTTCATTCCTAATAACTTTGTTATACGGTGCCCTTTAAAATGATTCATAAACGTGATTTAGAGTAAACAGTTATCTATTTTCCTATATTTGATTTTACAATAACATTTGCCACATCGAACATTGAGAACCTAGTATCGGACTCACGTTTAACCTAAATTCGAAGTATTTCCTATGCTAAAATATAACGGTTTTATTGTGCATTTTTAACAACACTTTATTTAATAATTAAGAAAAATTCAAATGATAGATGTACTACGCAAATACTACATACATTGTTATCCTATAATACGTGTCCCTCGGTGGACAGCGGTAAGTTTACGGACTTATAAAGCTAAAATCCGTGAGGGTTCTCTGTGGTTGACATAGCAGATAGCCCAATGTGGCTTTGCTCTTAAAAAAGAAACGAACAACAGTCTCCATCTTCTGCGTGTTACTTAGATATTTATCATGGAGTCGGTAGGTCTTATATGTAGAGATGGCCAAGGTATTCAATAGGCATAATACAAATATGCACGCTAAAAAATGAACAACGACAGATAATTTTACTTTAAAAGATGATTGCCACTCCCTCTTATACCCAACAAGCCCCAAAACAGGGCAAGAAACCATTGCTAAGATACCAAACAAGAAAGTGACTAGCCCACCAAATTGTTCATCTTTCTTCTTCTTGTTTCAGTCGAGATAACTCTATAAGTACTATATCACTAACGTCAGTTTAAACCTAAATCCACTCTTATATGTTTCTTGGCAGTGCATGATGTCACCGCTTAGCCGTAATTACTAGTAGTAATTTGAAAAAAATCATAATTCTAGTGTAAACGATGTTCCTTTAAAAGGTTAGGTACAGGGTGAAACAGGAATTACCACCCGATAATAACTGAACATTAGATGATCATAACATACAGAATACTCAATGCTTTGTACACTATACAATCAACGTCTTTCGGGAGCTAACCCCTGTATTATATATGAAGTGAAGGAGTAGAAAAAATCAATACAAGTAATATTAAATTTTATTACACACATTCATAGAATACACTAACTTTCAGCCAGGGGGGGGGGATGTCACAAAACAAGTAATAAAAACAGTTTCTAAATGTAAAATGATGTGAGGATGGCAGTGCCAAATAGAATACAAATAAAAATATAGGAATGATACAGCTATAAATAGATCATCCCTAGATGACTTTCAACATTAAAATTTAATGTTACGTTGTAAAATGCGTACTTGACTTTAATGATACTGTAGTCGGTAGTTATATATTTCCGACTATTGGTATGCAGTTTGTTTATCATAATATCATGGTCATATCAAGGTAGGCATCAATGTAGTGTAACTAATAGTCTAGGACTCACGTACAAGGAAAACCAAGTTGAGTAAAAACATGTCTTGATTATTACAGACTCTCGCTACGATGTCGGT